TACTGTACAGACTGCGACTCAGTACAGTCTCTTCTACAGTGATGTCTGGCCTACACCCACAGGACAACTGTTGAAACGCTCTGCCTGAGTGAGTTGGTTTAAATACTGTAATTACAGTCTGTTCAAATTAAAACTGCATGTTTGGATAGAAATACTCAGAGACAATAGATAAGAATCCAATGAACAGAAAATGTAGCAACTTCTCGGCAGCTGTGCTATAGGTGTCAGGTAACTGAAACACATTTACACATAATACACAGCTAATTAGCCTGGTATTAGTGAACAAAGTGAACAGTGGGCAGCTTTAAGTGCCCTGCTCAGAGCACCTCAGTGGTAACTTGGCAGCTGGTGGACTCAAACGTGAAGCCTTCTGGACCCAAGTCCACTTCCTTAACCACTAAGACACCACTGGCCCTTTTTTTTTTTTTTTTTTAAAAAGAACAGGTGAATAACATGTCATGTTTGATTGTGCAGCATCTTTTATTTTTTAAATATCATTTAAATTTCGACTTGAAAAAAACGTGTAGCAGAGTTAAAAAAAACCCGTTCTACCACAGGATTGTTGAAGGCACTGCCATGAATGGAATTTTTAATTAAACAGTCAATGGGACTTGATGGAAGTCGACCATCCGACCCTGCACTCAGTCCACTGACTCTCAGTAATGCATTAGTGGCAGAAATGAGTCTGTTTAACTTTAGCGTTGTCCACGTGAACCCACAGCAGCCCCCTGATTCCCCCTGACCCATCCCATCATTTCTTTATTAAATTCCTGTCTTCGTGGTAAAATGCAGTCAGCGGCTTCATTTTGCTTTAGAGTGAGCTGCAGCTAAAGTGAAATATGTTCTCGCAAAGTCTCTATTCAAATGTCAGAGCACCGTGCTACTACTGTGGTGGGGAAAAGTGTGTGGCACTAACTGAAAAGGACATGTTGGAAAAAGGGAAGTGTAAGAGGAGGTAGTGAATAAGCAAAATGGAATAAGGACCGAGAGATGGAGCAGTTGATGGGAGAGATGGAGGGAGAATTAATAAAGAGAGGCACACAGGAATAGAGTAGAAAAGTAGGGGAGGGCCGAGGAGGGTAATAATGATGGAAAGGTGAAGAGAGGGGCTGCTGAGGGATGGACCCAGGAGGGGAGAAAGGTGGAGAACAAAGAGCCAGGTCTTTCATGTTGAGAGGCAGACATGGTAACACAAAGAGCCAGCTTTAGCTTGTTTGTGGATGTGTGCTTCTAATAATGTGTGTGTGTGTTTATATGTATGTATATATGTGTGTGTATTTGTATATGTATGTGCGCTTGCATCTGTGCAATTTAGGTGTGTGTGAGCTTGTGTGAACTCCATTTGAATTTATAACCCAAAAAACAAGTATTTGAATAGAACTAATTGTCACAAACATTTTTGTTTGACCGTAATCAAGGAAGAGACGTAAATGTGAACTTCACAAGCAAACATGTTTTTTTTACCTATATTTATCTGTGCATTATAATTGTGTACTACATTACTGAAAACTCACAGTACAATTATATCTGATCCCGACAGAGGATGAATGATATAAGTGATTGTAGTGAGACTGAGGAGACAAATCCTCCAAGTAAGTCCTGCTGGAACCAAAGAGACAAATTAAAAAGTTGTGTAGAGAACGGGAGGGATTTTTAAAAAAAGAAGGAAAAATGTAATTGGCTACAAAGACAGTGTTGCTCTTCTTTTACGTCCAGTTTTCATACTCAATCCTAATAAATAAATCTATGAAATTGGAGTTATTCAGTGAAATCTGGTCCAGAAAAACACAGGTAAAGACACATAAGACTAGTGAAGCAGGAAGTAGACTGAAAAAAAATCTGACAACAGGAAAAGGGAGGATGGGAATAACCAGAGAGAAGGAGGACAGGGAGAAGAGATGAAGTGACAGCTTCTGAAGGATACAGACAGGAGGGAGAGGGATGGAGTGAAGAAAGAGAAGAATAATTGGAGAGGGTGAAGAGAGTGATAGAGTGAAAATGAGCAAGAGATTACAGAGAGGAAGCAGTGGAGTCGTGTCTCGCTCTCATCATTCAGAGTGTGGCTCATCTGGCAGCAGGAGCTTCCTTTGTCACCATGATGGGTCCTCGCTGTCTGCTCGATGCTCGCCACCAACATCATTATGGCACATTACTGATGTACACACAAGATGTGTGTAAGACAGACAGAGAGACAGAGAGACAGAGACAGATAGACCAAAGTGGTTGAAAAAAGACATTATCATTATAGGCACTCATTAATTACTATGTTGTAGATAATTGTAAGATGTTTATGATCAAAATGACAGATGTCTGTAGTGACTGTGTGGTCAGTAGATAAACAGCATCACCTGCGATATAAAGACTGGTCAACAGAACACATTTACAAATGGAATAAACAGGAAGCACTTTTAGTCTTTCTGTTTATTCTCAACTCCTTTAAACTTAACCTTTAAAAATACCATGGTGCTTTCCTCAGAACAAATATGAAAGTAATCTGTGACATGTTTACAAATAAACTAAACTGTTTTATTTAATTGTATGACCACAAATGTTGGGAGCCGCACTGGATCTTTCTAACGCCACCTGTTGACTTGAATTGAGTTTGACAGGACCAACAGTGTATGTATTAAGTCGGTTTTTTACTTGTGTTTGGAGGTGGTGTGAAAAATGAGCTCAAAACTGTGTTTTTCTTTTAAATTCTCTGTTCAACATTAGGTTATTTGACATGACAGCTGTTTGACACTGATACAAAATCAGTAGCTGGTTCCACAAAGTAAAGGAAGTGAGTGAAGGGTTAAACCTTCATCTCCATGTGCTTTTTTTTTCAATTGACAGATATGAAACACCTGTCAACTTAGAAACCACAGGTACCTAAGCTGACATGACATTAAATATAAAATTATACAACCATTATTAAACCACTCTACACTGACAGTCATATCCATGTTCTTTCAAGACTTAGAGTTAACCAGGTGATTTTAGCAGTTTGTTCTCTACACTCAACTGCAGATTGAAATACATGTGTTTACTCTACATGTTTTAATCTACAGTATGAACCTTCACAGAGGCTATAGTTTGTGTTGAAACATCCATTACTATTTTGTCATTAGTAGCACTAAGGCTTGTTTGATAAACAGTCTGTTTAATAAAGTCCCTAAGTGGCATTTCATTTTCTTGAACCAACACTAAAAGTAGCTGTTATCAAATAGACTTATCTGCATTTCATGTGGTTCTCTAATGCAGTTAGCTCTGTTGTTCTCTCTGTGTGTGCGAGTGTCTGTTTGAATGTATTTGAAATGGCTTGAGTCACTTTAATTTAGGGCAATGTTTCCATTAAGACGGCAGCTAAACTTCATTAAGGTCTTGGATCTGTGTGTGACAGCGCATATTAAAAAAAAACCTGTACAGTTTTCTGTTTGAACTGGTCTTGGATCTGTGTGTGACAGCACATATTAAAAAAAAACCTGTACAGTTTTCTGTTTAAATGTGAGTCACTGCTCATAGTGGATTGCATTCACAATGTTGTTTACAGGTTGTATATATTATTTACACATTGGCATTGATCAGCCATTGAAAGCATTGTGTTATTTACAGAAATACATACTGAGTATCATGATCTAGGTCACGCAGGTTGTGTGCTACAGCATATGATGAAGGAACAGAATTCTATTCATTCACATGTTTTGCGCAGCCAGGAAATTATAACTCTATCACGCTTAATTAAAAGTCGATAAAAAAAAATAACAGAACTACTTTTGTTAAGTGTGAATTGCCAGTACTGTATATTTTCTAACCAGCTGTATATTTTGGTTAACACTGTCACATGACTTTAAGGGGACACCAGTTTATACAAATAGGAATACATATTTTACTAAAAGGAGCATTACTCCCAATAGTGCTCCTCACTGGGGTCAGCTAAGCTAACCCACCACCGACCAGCACCACCTTCCTTCTACTTCTTTGGTTCCTGGTGTCAGGGTTAGAATTGTTGGAAACAATGAATGGAAACACCTGCATCCGCCCAGAGAACATAAGGAACACTTTCTCTCTTCATCTGCACCAAGATAAAAAAAGATATTCAGAAATCTAAAATATCTGACTTTGGTAGAAATGTTCTGGACTATTGGAAAGTAAGAGATAAATCATGTTAAAGTGTTGGGCCATTTCTGCTGAAACTGGACGATGTTAGTGATAAACAGCATCTTCACGGGACTGTTCACATCAGAGATAAAGCTACAGAACCAAGGTTGAATTACAGACCTTTAAGTGAATACTGTTCTTGCACAGTCTCACCGGTCAAACATCTGTTTATACACAGTTAACAGAGTATATGCACAGGGTATTACTAAACGACTGAAGTGTATGCAACTAAAAATACACACTCCTACACAGGGAGAGTAGGAGTTAAAAACACTTAACATCTGTACATTAACAAGTGTTAGAAGTGTCTGAAAAACACTCAAATGCTCATCGCTCATCCCTCACACTATCACATAAATACCTCATTATCTATTCACATAGGCATCTTCATGTTGTATTATTTATCCTTTATTATACACCAGTTATAGTTTTTTTTCACACTCCCAAGCTTTTTCCTTTAAACCACATGGCCCCCTGGGCAGCTGCCAGGAGACGCTTGGAGAAAATTGGAGGGAAGCTGAGAAAAAAAATGCAAAAAAAAAAATCTACGCTGTATTCGGGTTCTCAAGTTTCCGATGGTACATGAATGCACCTTCCATCTTCGGCCTGACATCATATTCTGTGACCTGGTGGTTTGCTCCTGTTGTCAAGCTACTCTTCAAGCTTTATTATTTAATGTGAATATACAGTGCTGAAATTTGTAACTACATTTGTAAATAATTTTGTTATGTGAACAAATGTAATTATTATTGAATAATGATTTGATTTTTCTTCACATACAACAGCAACTGTGCTGAACAACATTGGAAATATTATAGGGTAAAGTAACATTGCTGTGTTATTTGTTTGTGTCTTCACAGTACTATGAAATGTCCTACGGTCTCAACATTGAGATGCACAAGCAGGTAAGGGACAGTCCTTCTCCTTTTCTGAGTACAGTACATTGACTGTGTCATCTGCGTGGAAGTTGCACTTATTAAGTCAGTGGGAGGAGATGAATGTGTTATTGACTACACACCAACTTTGTCTGCCCCTTTGACTTCATGTGTGGGAGGTTTTCTGCTGCACTTTGTTGCTGATGTCCTCTCAGTGTTTTTTTGTGCGCTGGGTTGTATTTGCAACAGCCTTTTGTCCAACATTGTATTATGCACATGTTGTATTATTTTTCTTAATGTGCACCCTATTAGCAGAACAAAGCCAAATCTCCGAGCATAAATTTGTGTCATGATGAGAACGGGCAAAGTGTCACAAGTGGTTTCAACACTCACACAGTAATGGATGGCTGGTTTTAATACACACCACAAGGTTCACTGCCGAGCACTGCAGTTAACTATACAATATGACAATGAATGGAATAGAACATAAACGCAGCTACTGTAGCGTGAAATAGAAGCAGTTCTAAATCTATTTAAAAGATTTAATTTATTTTATTTATTTATTTAATTGTAGAAACAAGCATGTCTGCCAATGTAAGACTGCAAAACAGATATACTTTTGAACAAAGAGGGGACACATGCATGGAGATACTGTATATGAATCAACATCAACACCATAAAATCTATTTTATAGTTTTTCTGCATCTGTTTTGTTAATTTTTGTATTGTTGTGCTCACATGCTCCACTTTTATTCTACAGACTTTGTAATTCAAATGGCTGATGTGTTTAGAACTCTTGTCCATCTATGTCTCAGCCTGCTGGAGTTGTTGTTTGTACAGAGTTTCTGTTAGCAGTCAGATGCTGTGTATGTAGACATTCTTGCCCAGGGAGCTATTAGGTGCCAAAGTCATAATGATTCAACCCTTAATGAGAGACTGTATTTCTGGACAATGTGTGTGCACCGTGGTGTATTGCATAAGAGGTGCAGCAAACTGTGACTGTGAACGTGTTGAGTCTGGGATTTCTTTTTTTAATACCTGTGGCAATTCTGTTGTGTGTGTCACTCTTTAAAAAGGATGGTATTCTCTAAAGTTAACTAAAAACATTTTTCACCTTTTTGATTTCCAGTGTGACAGCAATACACATTTACAATAGAAAGCAGCTCATTGTTTAAAACAATCTCCCAAAACGCCTACAAAATGAAAGCCTCCGCACTTTAACCTGATAATCATTGTGCCATTTAGTTATCAAGGTAATTACAGGACAGAGACATCAAACAGTGGGACTCTGTCCAAATACAGAGAGCTGTGTATACATACCTAACTCTGGAAGAAGTTATGTATCATTATAATGTCCCATTAACGGCTAAAATGTCATTGAAAACTCCAGACTCGTGCACTAGTCATTGTTTGACAAGCACACACGATGTTAAAATAGCGAAGAACATTTGTGGCTTGGTGAGTCACCATCTTAGCAGTGATGCTGGTCTAGGATGAAATCAAACACTTGGCTTGAAATGTGAAGTATTAGCAATTGTAGTTTTTTTTTTTTTTTTTTTTACTGTAATGTGTGGACACATCACTAGCTAAGTGTGTGTAAGACTAAACTTCTTCAGGAGGAGAAATAGATGAAAACACCATGCTCTGGGGTTTCTCCTTTTAGACTTGTTGAGTTTTACCTCCTGTCTTCCTCAGACGTACCATCAACAATAATTTTCTTTGCTTGGTGCTTCCTGCAATGGTTCTGTGTCACCTGGGGGGTAGAGGCCAGACTTTGGGAAACAAAGATGTAATGTTATGGATGTATCACATGTCAGGGACAAGGCAGTGTCTTGGTGAGGATCACAACCAAGACTTTGACCACTGTGTAGGTGAGTGACATAGGAAATTATGTACAGTATGTGACTTCTGACTTACGGTGAAGATCGAGTTACATCTCACCGTAGGAACAAATCTGCGATGTAAGTCGAGAATCCCCTATATTATATTATATTAGATATTATCCACTTCTATGAGCACTTTAATGAATTAGAGTTAGTAACTAATAATAGTAATTTTATAAGTGACAGTGCTTTTTGCCTCTAAACATAATTTTATTCTAAATATCACTGTTGAAAACATGGAATAAAATTCAGCACAACTCAAGCTGCCCTGTGATTCCAGGAAGATAGAGAATTCAGATAGGGAGACGCAGAGGAACTAAAGATAGAGAGGAAAAAAGACACAGGAAGTTAACAGAAAGTAGTAAGAAGGAAATATCTGGCAGCCAAACCAGCAAAACTGGGCTGTCACTTTATTTAGCCTAAAATGGGACGAAGTGGACTGGTGTTTTGGCTGCAGCTCTGAGAGGGGTGACAGAGGGAGGCCACAGAGGGGAGAGAGTGGAAAATAAAGGGAGGGGGGAGGAGAGACGGAAGAAAAGAAAAAGGTAGTGAAGATGACAGGAGGACACCAGAGAGGTACAGTTGAGCGTGGCAGGGTAAAAAAGGGAGGAAAAAAAAGAAAAACAAACTCACTGCCAGGACGTGTGAAAGATGGATGTGTGAAAGAAAAAAAAAACTTTTTAAAAAAGAATGAGGAAAAAAAGGTGTAATTGAAAATTATTTTAGAAAACTAAGTAAAACACTTGTGGTGATTGAAGGATTGAGGAGAAAGAGAATAAGAAGAAAATAATAATGAAAAGAATGAGTGAAAATTTAATTTCAATGGGAACATGAAAAATATTACGAGGAAAAAAAAGATGTTTTACAGACAGCTGGCTTGGGTAAGTAATGAAGTGGTTTGAAATGAAAGGGAAAAACAGATTGTCTAAAAAGCACAGATGAGAAAAAGCTGAGATTGTGGAGAGGAGCTGGAAAAATGTGTGAGAGGAAAAAGGGGGGAAAGAGATAGATTGAAAGGATGAAAGAGGAGAGAGTAAACAGGAAGGATGAAGCCTTGGAAGAAGGATGGATAAAGACCTCAGAAAACAGACGAGAGGGGAAAAGGATGGGGTCGGGAACAAGAGCCAAGAAATACAAGCAGTTGGGGGAAAAGTGAAAAAAAGAGCGGGGGTGGGGGTTGTAAAAGATGGAGATGGAAGAAATAGGGGTTGCAAAAGAGAGACATCAAGAGAGGGGGAGATCTTTGAGTTGCAGTCAAAAATAATGAATCATGAATAGATTTAACAGTGTCTGCTCTTATTTCCTGTCCTCTTTCACGCTCCCCCCTCCAGCTACCTCCTAACATCCTGTCTGGATCACTGCTATTGCTTTCCTCCCTTCTCTCTCTTTTACTCCAGTCCACACACTGTCATTATCAAAGGCTGGTCCGTCTCATGTCCTGGCCTTAATTGAGCTGTAACATCACATCATCTCTCGTCTCCTTCCCTTCCTTTAGATTTCATTTTACTTCTTTCTTTTCCCTTCCCCTTTTCACCTCTAATTATGTCAGAAATATTCTATTTCCTCTATCGTCACCCTCGATCTCTCTTACTCTGTTGCTGTTTTTTTATAGTAGCAGAGCTACTGATGTGATCTGCTACAATCTTGAACTTGTTTCCATCAGATCATCATGTAAAAAGTATGTACAAAATGTTTCTATTTAGCAGCCAAATTATCATTATTATTTCGACAGGGCATGTTGCCCTAAACGTCTTTATTTGGGCTTCTATATCATGGCACATTTACTAACAGTTTATTCAAATCCCAAATTCCGTGGCTACAGTTACAACCTGCACAGATGTTGGCTTTTGCATTCAATAAGTATGAATGATGTCATGTTAAAAACTAACATAAATACATTTTTGACACCTAAAAAGGGTTATTAGAAGCTTGAATCGCAGGAGTTTGGGAATCAGTTTATATTGATTTCTATATCTATATACAGTCTACTATCAAAGCACGGTCAGCAGTGATAAAACATGATGTCTGGTTACATTTGGGCCATGTATCGTATTAAGGACATAGTTATTTTGGCTCATATAAACGAATGTTGATTCTGAAATTTTCACAAGCTAATATAGAAATATAAAAATGAGGATAAAGACTTCTTCTTTTAAATGAATACATTTGAACACACTCATGCAAGCATACGCCACATTATCGCACAGGGCTCACTTCCATAATCATATAATACGGTATATAGCTTTATCCCCAGGAGCAGCCGTAGGAGCTACAAGGACAAAGCACTGCTCCCTCTGGTTGCTCTGTATTCATTGATATAACACTTCTGGGACTGGAATACTCATTGCCTTCATCCTCCTCTATATGCACAGGCACAACATGGCTAACAGTGAATTTATATGCAGAAATATTCCTGGATTGGCAGAGGAATACGTCAATGGCGATCTGTATGCATTGTTAGAAGTGTGGTGAATAGATTGAAGCAAATCTCTATTGACAGTTGATACTGGCAGTAGGATAATAGGACCACGGTGGGAGGTGAGGAAGAATGGGAGCTTTGTTTGACCCGCGTACAGGAAGATGTGGAGGCAGACCAAAAACTTGTGACCAGGCTGGAGCCTGAAAAGATACAAAATCTGAAAGGCAGGAGGTGAATAAGAAATGATATTGATTCCATCTGCATTTTGGCCTTTAAAGGGCAATAATAGGCTTTCTTCAAGTTAAATAAATCCAAGCTGTAAGTCATTTTTTGGTATTCTTGGCATTCTGTCTGTAGTGGTTGATTGAAATACTATAGTTTAGGCTCAAAGATTAAAAATGTACAAAAATGCATTTTTCATAAGGTATACATTAGGCAGTGATACCTCTGCAGTGACTGAATCATTGTTATAGAAGAATAGGAACTTGTTTAAAAATTGGAATGCGAGACCCTGCAGTCGACTGTGTGGGAATGTTACAGTGTATAATGAGCTCATCTTAAACGGTTGCCTCCTAAAAATCATATTAAAAATGTATGTGCTGCATCACTAGCAGTTTCTGTAAGGTGACTGTGGTGTTAATGCAGCTGCTACACAAAGATTGTATGGATCCTAATCCTAAATTTTAAATATAGCATAATGATGGCCCATCCAAAGCAAATACATTTAC